AAAAAAAAAAATCAAGATGTTACAAGCAGTTATGACTCACGTGTCTTCAAAAATATCATGCATTATTGCTCTATCGGATATCAACGAAATATTGTCCAAGACAGAAATTTGTTCGGTTTTGCCTGTTATCTAAGAGGTTTGGAAAAATATCCAAAAAAGATTCATAAAATTGGCATAGATTCCATTATTAGGCTATTATTTTTTTCCTCTCTTTTTTTTTTTTTTTTTGCATGCATTAGTTTAAATAATTAAAGTGGCTGACAAAAGTAAAAAGATATTCATTAATTAGAAAGTGTCAAATGCTTTGGCATATTTGTAACAACAAAAAAAAAACAAAGTAAAGTGCAAATCAATACAAATGTAAATGCATATGTAAATAAATGCATAAATACATAAATCATAAATAGACACATCTTTTTAAAAAAAGATAAAAACCTCAAAGATGAATGCTGTGCTTCTTGATGCAACTAAACTATTATACAACACTGGAAAAAGGTTTGACCTTTTGAGGAAATCCAGGACATTTTTTATGTCTCCATCCCCATCCAACACTGACAAATTAAAAAATAATAATAATAATAACATCAGATTTAGGTTATAGCAAAACTGTTAAGGAATACCCTGGTGGCTCAGTGGGAGTTTTTAGCCATCTGATCCTGAACTGGAACTCATAACGGTCCACTGTTTGCGGTTAAGTAAGCGCATATCCCAACATTACTTAGAAGTAAAGAAAAGAGCTCTTTTGTCCACGGTTTTAAAAATACGTCATTTCTCACCACACAGGTGTACTGCCTGTACTACCACATTGTGACAGGTGTGTCTTTTCTTCACAGTTCATTGTGGTAATGTCAGAAGCCACGTATACAGACACTGTATACTGCGGGTGTCCGGTTGTATAAATAAATATCATTACAAGTATCTTGTTTACTTGCACAGGAGAAACGCTGTGTGCTTTCCTTGTTTTGATGCTTTATCTTTGTAAGCTCAGTCCAAGGTCGGTCTCAGTAAAAGCAGGACACCACATGTATCCTTAGATTATGAAGGTCTGTTTTTAGAAACGCATAAAACTTGAAAGCTCATTGAATCTCACTGGAAGAAAACCGATGATGTGATTCATGCTTGGAGATTGGAGATGAGTTGTGCTTTAGTGTCATTTCCTGGTGGATTGGGAAAACAAAAAAAATAACAGAATGCTGAGGGTAGATATGGACATAAATAGATCTAGGTATCTTCAAAAATGATGAGCTAGATGTGCTGTGCTTTATTTATCTTCACAGATATTTCAAAAAGCCTCAACGGGAAGTAACTTATCGACGCAGGTGACAGTCTAAATTAGGCATTGAAAACTTTTCACTCCACTCTCAGATGAGGGAAGATAAAACAAAGGAGAGATTGGAGGGTTCTTGATAGGAACGGATGCCTTCAATCTATTTTTGTCATATACCTCGTGATTCTTGCAGAGAAAACACTCCTACCTTGTAACACTCAGATTCTGCTTTTTGGGGGAAAGAAATAAAAGTAGGGAATGAGGCCAGGAAAATTGCATGTAAACAAATTAAAACCACCCCAGTCAGTCTCCCAGGGAGCTCAGAGGGGAGAACGCCCCCTTGAAACACGCCGACTCATAGTGCTTGTTCAGGTAACTCTTGAGTGCAAACGTCTTGTTGCATCGTTTGCACTTATAGTGCTTGAAGGCTGAGTGTGTCTGCATGTGAGCACGCAGGTTAGACCGGTCAGCAAACGCTTTGCCACAGTGCGCACACCCAAACGGCTTCTCCCCCGTGTGCGAGCGCATGTGGCCCTGCAGCAGCCACGGCCGGCTGAACGCTTTGCCGCACACGTCGCACTTGTGCTTGAGGTCGTGGGTCAGGAGGTGCATAGCCATCGCTGGCATGGAGACGTACACTTTCCCACATGTGGGGCACTTCTTAGCCATCTTGCTGTCTATGCTCCTGTGCGTCTGCTTGTGCCGGCTCAGGTTGGAGGATGTGGCGTAGGTTTTACCACACTCACTGCAGGTGTGCCTCTGGGCAGTTCCCCTCAGGGTTCCCGTGGTTTTCCTTCGTGATCGTCCGTCCATGATGAAAAACGCATCCACGCTGTATCCTTCACTCACAGCTGTGTCGCCGTTGATGTATCCCCCGGCTGATGACGAAACTTCAGACCGGGGACTGTCTGGCTGGTCCGAATCGCCATGGATATCACCATGGATGCCAGAATATGTGTTGTTGATGCGGCCATAGATGACCGATGAGTGGCTCGGGGAGGGTACTTTAGAGATGACTGATGAATCGCTTCCAACCACATCGTCGTAAGGATTAGGACTCAGATAATCACTGACGTAGCCTGAAGAGACAAAGAAAGAGGTAAGTCATCGTGGCAGGAGGATTGATTGGCTTGGAAATCTACACGAGTGACTGCTACAAAGCTTAAACAGAGTCAAAAGGGATATTTGAGTGCTGGCAAACCTGTCTCTAACAAAAACCTAAAGGGGCAGTTCACCACAAAATTTAAATTAAGCTTTTTCTGCACTTTAGTGTTGCTTATCCACACAAATGGCTTGAGTGTGAGTTTTCCAGTTTGAGACACTGACTGTAAAACCGTCTGCTTCCTCTTGGACAACATCATACTGTTCTCGTTGTCTTGGAGCAACTTTGACCACACAATTTCCTTTGGGATTAATAAAGTATTCTGATTCTGATTAATGATTCTTTCCAGAACCTGACTCGTCAAAACACTAACAAACATTGCATTACATAGGAACTGTTTTTCTCCTTCTACTGTTTTAATCCATGAACCAAAAGAGGCAGCCAGCTAACATTTCTTCTTTTATTCTAGAATGACACATCTGAGATTGGTAAAAGGAAAATAGTTCTCTTTTTTGAGTTACTAGAAAATATTTTCTCATACAAAACTTTTTCCCAAATGTATGATTGCGTATTATGTTGCTTCAAATGTTAATCATTTTGCACCTTTTAGGTCAAAAGTGCAGAGCACAAAAACGGAAGAGATTAATATTAAGTGCCAAGTTCGTCCAACTATCCACCATGTTGTTGCAATTAGTTATAAAAAGAAAGCACCTGAGTGCTAGAAATACAAGATATGGTTCGAGTATCTATTATAGCACTCGTTACGATACTACTCAAGACCCTGAGGGCTCTGTAGAACCTATCACTACTAAGAAAATTGTTTGTTTTTTTAACTTGTATTGTATAACGGCAGGCCTCAATCACACTCGTTCATCAAAGTTCATTCATTATTAACATTTTGTCTCCAGACTACATTACATTACTGATCACACCCTGGCATCTCTAGTTTCTAAATATCAATCATACCACAATAAGGATCACATGAACCACATTCACCATGTGTTCTGCACTCCCATTATGCCCAGTATCCATAAAAGACCAAAAGGTTTCCGAGTCGATTCGAAAGAAATACCTTCACATCGGTTTTTGGAGGTGATGCAAAGCAAATGAAGGAAAAGAGAAGGAGACAGTTGTGGTATTCATAGTGGCAGTAAAATGCTTCTCAGTCCTTACAAGCAAGGAAGAGACACTTTCCCCTCAGTGGGAAATCTTTATTTTTCATTGGAGGGCTCAGTGAGCACACTTGCTCCTCATCAGCTGCACCTTTTCTGACAGGTCTGAAGCTGCACACAGTCACACCTCAGGGCTGTCAAAACCTCAACTGCTGTACAAAGAGCATCTCTATTACAGCAGCTGGGTGTGTGGGGGGGGCGTCCAGTGCATTACTCAGTGGGCGCAGTGACACTGACAGTCTCCGTCTTGAGGGAAAACGGGAAGTACACTTCACCGAGACTCACAAATTCCAAAGCAACCTGCATATTTGTGCACAACCCCTGACAAATCTGGTGAATTATTTGATGCCGCGTTATGATGCCAGCTGCTTCATTATTTCTATTATTGGCACTCAACAGGCTAAACTGTAACAGACACAAGGAGAGACTGGTAGCTAATAACCCATGGCCGCAACTCCTGTGGATTTATGCCGATCAATAGCTCTCCATTTCAATTAGCACTCTGTGAGCATTAAGACACAGACAGCAGAGGAGATACTATTGCTGGTAATATAATTTCATGATGCAGTTCTGAGAAAGGCTCAGATGTTGGTCGATAATGTGATGAGAACAACAGACAGAGGGTAGAAGGGTAGAGAAAGGGGAGTCATATTAAGGTGAGGAAGAGAGGGAGGAAGAAAGAAAAACCTAGCGGGGAGAAAGTAATGCTACGTTAAATGTGGTGATGGTGGTTGGGTGGTTTGGCAGTCCTGTACACAGCGCTCATGCTAATTTAACATTTTCGAATTTAATTAAGACCAAGTAATAGAGAGAGAAAATAGAGGGAAAGCGAGAGGGGGGGAGAAGAGGTGTGGAGTGGAGAGAGAAAATCATGAATCATAAATATTCAATCATTGCACTCTGGAAGGAAGTACTGTGTTTGTGTGTGTGCCCGTGTGTGTGTGTGTGTGTGTGTCTTGTTTTATAGAGCATGAGTAAAGTTTTGAAACATGACCAAGTGCTCAGTTTGGACCCTTATAACCAGGTATGTTGACTAAGAGCAGCTGGAGTCTTGGAGATGTTGTAGAGAGTCGTAATCACTCAAACTGACAGTTTCCAGTCCTGCTACAGTCCTGGACTATAGTGGATACTCAGCAGCTGCACTGGAGGTGGTATAGCCTTGCAAGCTGCTGCAGATAAACCACCTACATCTGCTTCCCTCCCTTCTCTAACCTTGCCCTGACTCACCAGTGGCACATGCCACACCGGTGGGCATGGAGCCACTGCAGGTGGGGAAAAGTGCAATATGTGAAACTAAAGTAAATTAAGGTCCACTATAGTCAAAAGAAGATTGATATCTCCATCTGTAGTAATTTATATTTGGCAGCACAGCTCTGTTCTGGGACCTCACCGCACTTCCATGTGCAAATATGGAAAGATGGAGGTGGGGAAAGCAGCAGCAAGACAGCAGCATACAGAACAGAGCAAGTGTCAGTGACAGATGTGATAAGAATTAAATTAGACGGTGGGTTTCAAAGTGGCTTGCAGATGTGCCACAACTGAGGTCTAAAGTATCATCGGCAAAGGGCCTTGAAGAAGACGTTCTCCCAAGTGTTGGCAATCAGGGTAGTAAAGTAAATAATCTGATGCGCATCAGAAACACTTTAGATATTTTTCCAGAAGGTCAGTTTTGCCTTAGACCTCAGAGGGTTAAATAACAACCTATGTGGGATAACCAGCTGGATGTGTAGTAGAGCAGAGTTTCGTCATCAGTTAATGTGTGCTGGCACTGAGATCACCTGATCTGCCGGGACTGCCTGCTAAGTTTTGTTGATGCTATCCTGCTGACCTTTATTCCACTAAAATTTACACTTTCAGTGGTTAATGATTGCTTTGAGAACGGTTTGTGGGGTTTATACACAGACGTCTTCTTCTGATAGGGGCAGTGGCAGAAGAAGTTTGAGAACCGCTGCTCTGATCAACGTTGCGTTAGCAAAGATGGCACCAAATTCCAAACTCTTACTGCACAAAATGCAGTAAGATTTAGCGAAAAATGATGATACCGTCAGATTTTCTGAAACAGCATACTAATCCATGGTCGTGACCTGCTGGATAAGCAAGACATGGAAAGCCAATTTAGAGTCTATGATGAAAAGGGTTCATCTTTCTGGGGACAAAAAGATGGTGTTCAGTGACTGTTATCTCAATGCATCGTATAACTAATTATTTCTTGGCCACCACAGAGGGTAAATTGTCCTGCTGGTGATGTAGGGAACTATATGATCTATGACTAATTAGCAGAAATCTTTGGTCCTGCGTCCAAGGAAAGAAAGTTTGGGAGGGAGACAGACTGAAAAAGAAGTCTTTTCAAGTGAGCAAAATAACCCTATCCATTATCTACATTATCTTTGACTATTCTGTGAGTACCATATCACCTCTCCTTCACCTGTACTAACAGCCAGACTGAGCCATGCATATGTGACTGACAGGCAGAAACAAAAACAAAGCTCGCTGTCTGGTTCTAGGATACTTTTTTCTCACACAGAACCTTTTTTGCACGATCCCTGCCAATTAAACATGACCATTCCCTTTCATCCCTTTTCATTTAAAGCGCTCTGACTGTGACTGTTGCTGTTACTGCGCATCTCGGCATCAGTGTACTGTCTCTATTTGTTTTTTTGTCTCTCTCTGTCTGAGTATCTGTCTCGCTGTGTCAACTCCGTATTCATTTCAAAGTACTTTAGCAGCATTAGAGCTGATAGCTGTTCTAAATGCTTATTAAAGATTAAATACTCTGCCAAACTAGAGCCATCCCACTTTCATGTGTCTTTGAAATACCGAGAATTAGGAATGGAAAGAAAAAGAAATGGAGAGGGAGAAAGACTGCAAGCTACAATTTAATTTTTGATCCAAACCAGCAGTAACTGACGCACACTTGTGTGCTTTGGACACTTGTAGGTCACTGACTGCTTCCTGTCTGTGTGTGTGTGTGTATGTGTGTGGGTAATGCTGTGCACTCAGCTGTGCAAGCTGCCTTTCAAATGTGCCGAGTTGACAGAAACAGTAGAGTGCGTGTATGACTGTGTGTGTGTGTGTGTGTGTGTGTGTGTGTGTGTGTGTGTGTGTGCAACAAGCTGCATTTGCTTCAGTCAAACTGTTGTTATATTTATAACAAGGGATAGCTTCCCTAGTCTGTACATGCTTGCCACAATGCTACTGCTGCTGCCTCTGCTGCATGTTTCTGGTTTCAGATCATCAGAACGCTTGGGATCTCTTCATCTTACATTTGACCTTGGCACAATGCGAAAACCAGCAGGCTGCACTAACTCCATTACACGCTTGTCCCCGTGCAGTGACGGTGATTTTTTTTTTTAGCTCTTTAAAGCTGCAGTCATTCTTTTTTGGCCACTAGAGGGCAGAATAAAGCAGACACACAACCCAGGCAAATTATTGACCTATAAGGGTGTTATGTGTTTTTCTAGCAAAATCTGCCACTTTATTTGCTTTACATTACTGGATGCTGAACAATGACTCTCAAAACATAAATCAAAACAATAAGCTAAAGGGGGCCAAAGGGGGATAAATGAAGCAAAAAAACACATAGCAATTTTACTCTGGGGATTTGTGACCCATTTACATAGCATATAGTAATTTTATCCAGTATCGTATCTTTAATGTCAAGGGCATATTGACATAGATAAAAGCTCCCATCTCTGTTAAAGTGCATATGGCATGTTTTCTGTGGTTTTGCTTCCGAGATTATCAGACCAAAGCAAATGCATGACTTCTGAGTAGAAATGCTAGGTAAGTATTCCTTTTGTAAAAGATTTCCACACTTTTCCACTGAATATTTGACCCAAATACTGCCCTTTTCATTGACTTTGTATCGTATTTTCCCCGTGTACCCCAGATTATACAGTGCGTGGGAACCATTGGCAGCCAGTGTAGCTGGGCATGATTGCAGAAATCTTTGAAGGTGACTCACAGGTACTGGAGAGAAGGCTGATTTGAATAATATAATTGGCAACAGAACAACGGTGTATCCCAATGTATGTGTGCTGCTGACATAATGCATTAACATAATCATTTAGCATGGTTTTCTGCAATGATCCTGCGCTCACTGGCTCCCTGTTGCTTCCGCCACAGTCTTTGTATGCTCCTTCGGGAAAAATGTATTTTTCTGCACTAACATGTTAATGTCAGCAACTGTTCAGAGCTGGATGTGTGTGTTTTAATGCTTTGTGTAAGAGTAAAGGCAGGGGGAGATGCGAAATCCTACAGGTACATTTAAAAACTATAACAGGTTGTAGAGGGAGTGCAAAGCAAACCTGAAATTCCATTAAGCATTCTCTCCTGTTTTCTTTAAATTATCTTTTATTCCAGATGTGACTTCCTTTCCTTGAGCATTAAAAACCATAAATAATACAGAGCAATTCAGCCTCATGAAGTGCCTATATAGAAAGCTCTTAACCTCCGACCTGACTGCAGTCAGATCCAATGTGCATCGCACATATATTACCTTATATGACCTATTTTGTATTATTATTACACCGTCTCTTTTATTGCCCCAAGTCTCAAGAGGTTCTTATCAGACTGAGAGTGTAGGTTTCCTCTCATTTGCTTCTCTACATAAGACTATTTAATGGAACCAGAGCATTTCACCGAGTATAATTACAGTGTTGGAAATGGTATATTTTGGGGGGGGCTATGACCGAAGTTTGACCCTGTAATTCCCTTCTCCTCTTCCTTCTGAAACAGTCATGACTAATGCTTTAAATCTGAGGGTGAAAACATTCTCAGAGGGATGCATGGCAGGCTTTAAATGGGCGCCTGTCTCCGCGCGCGTGTATGTGTGCTCGGGTGTGTTTGTGTGTGTAGGTGTGTGACTAACCTTTGTCATGATGATGGAATCGCAGACTGAGCTCTTCTCTTCGGCTGTGACCATACGAGCTCTCCAGATCGGCAGCCGAATAGTCGTCCAGCTTGACTTTCTTCACTAAGAAAGACCGAGGCATGATGGCTCCTACACTTGCACGACAAACACACGCTTTTCTATCCAACTTCAGTCTAAACTCACAACCTATCAGCTGATTTTTATTTTAACCGTGTAATTTTATTTATTTACTTTAATTCAGCCACTAAAGCTACGCTTGCTCCCTTCCGTCAAACACCTTGGAAAAGTGGAGACATGGCTTTTAAAGATCAAAGAAGCCGAGCTTTCCTCGTGTGCTTCTGCATGTTTACCACACATAATATTAATGTATTTTTTTATTTTTTTTGCGGTGGTTTGTCAAATATAGGCTATGTCTGCAAGTAATAGCTGGATCTCATGGAGAAAGCGATCTGTTTTCATCCCGTTAACTTGCCACTGGAAGACCTGTGGAGTCCTAAAGGCTGGAAAATAAAAGAATATAAGTCAGTTTCTGTATGGCTGCTCCGTTAAAAACGTCCCTCGTGCCGTGCTTAAATCCGTTGCTTCTAAAAGAAAGATTATGGTCTCGTTCTAACAAACCGCTGGTCTTCAGCACGCGGACAGCTCCCAACAAACACTTCCTAACGTCCAGGCTCGTGCTTTCAGCACCGGACAGCTCCTCCCGTCGCGAGACTCTTCCCCCCCTCTTTTTTTTTGTTTTTTTTTTGTTTTACACCGCGTGCCACAGCCAAACCGCTGTTGCCCCTTCAGCTCCAGAGGGAAAGGAGAGGAACAGAAAGGCGAAACGAGCAGTTTTAAGGGGTCTTTCTGCTCAAAAGTAGCAATCCAAACACAGGTGAGTCAACGACTTGACGATTTTTGACCAAAAAACCACCCCAAACAAATAAACAAACATTTGGGTGCCGCTCAAAGAAGCGGGAAGGAGTATGGCAGCAGAGTTGCAGCGCTTGGTTAAAGGTCGGGACAGTTTAGTCCAAGAAACCTCTTGAGACCTTCGCAGGACTTCAAACCCCAGCTCGAATATCACAAACTCAGCCAAAACGTCATCACAGTTCATTTAAAATAAATAAATAAAATATTGCTCAGATTTGTTTTTAAAAACTGCGGCTGGAAGACCAGAACAGCTCTTCTCCGGTCGCTAACTCTTCGTTTCACTCTCTCTCTCTCTCTCTCTCTCTCTCTCTCTCTCTCTCTCTCTTTCTTCTCCCCACTCCTCGCGCGTGCGGAGCTGCGGCTCTCTGTAGTGCACGGGATCAGCTGTTGCGGCTTTATAGGGCGCGAGAAGGAGGGGCCAGGGGCGGTTGGGGGGTGTGCTGGAGCTAAATTTTATTCATCAGGAGAAGAAAAAGAAAAAAGAAAAAAAAAGAGCATCTTGTCTTGTTGGACCAACAGCAGCGGTGCTCTGTGATAGCCGGGGAGGGTTTTATTTCGATAGTTTCTTGTGCTTGCCCGCTCTCACACTCTGATTATGACAGTGAAAGATGTTTGGATGGATGCAAGGATGGGTGGATTAGTCCATAAACTGGAAAGCAAAGATTGCGTCTATGTAGACAGGAAAGTTTTCTTTTTAATCTGTTACACTGTGTTGTTTCTATAGATAATCTTTTGCTTTTGCATGTTAAGCTCATGACGTATAAAAATGTTATGTTATAAAAAGTTCAGTAACTGTTGCTTTAAGGGGAAACGTTTGTGTGCCCGCCTGATTTGTAGTCCTTCCTAGGGACCGAAAACCATCAAACCAACCGCTCAACGCCAACTTCTAATGTAGCCCCGCACACAGGTCAACGCTTTTACGCTGCGATCAACCAATCAAGCTCCTCTTATGCAAATCAGCGCTTCTCTTGACCAATCAGATCCTAGGCGCATAAATCCATAGTCAGCATTAGCCAATGAGTTTGTTTAATGCAGCTGAGGTGAAGGTGTTTTTACTGAATGGTCTTTCAGAGAGACAGAGAAATAGACGGAGACCACCTTTTTTTAAATATCATGTAAACAGACTTTTCCCTCCAGCTACCAGGCAGCAACAGACTTGCATATATACACATTGTCATGCAAAGCCCTTCCCCATTCATACACACGCAGGCAGCCTGGCAGGAGAGATGATGGTGTATGATGTAATTCAGTGACGTGTGCATTTATGTAAGTTCTCTTTGGTGAGGTCCTTGGAGTTAACCTATTTTTAAAGTTCATTGATAAATGTTTAAAGGAGACAGAGAGGGCATGTCCTGTGGGTGTGAAAGAGCGTGTCTATTTTAAAACACAGTACAGTATGTGTAAATATGTGTGGATCAAAGTGCAGCAGCATATTCATCAGTGGCCTCAGGATCTATGCGTTGCATAAAAGAGGTTTCTTGTTCATATGTAAGCTTTTACAACATTAAATACAAAGAGTAATAGCATGTGTCTGACTATGTAATCTGAGGCTCTGAAAGTATGAAGAATTTCTTAAATAAATCACATTTCTAGTAAAAAACTAACCTATGGATGTTGCACTGAATCAAATGAGACTCATCACCCATCTTCTTGTGCAGCTCTCAGCCTCTTTTAGTTTCCATCTCATTGTTTTATTGTATTCTGCCCCCCCCCCCACACCCCCCCCCCCACACACACACACACTGTATGTACAAACTGTCTTACATGAAGCATTTCCAGCAGTCACTCTGTGACAAGCCCTTTGTTTGTTTCAGCAAATGCTCCTAAAATGATGCATATTTATCCTCAAGTGACAAAGCCCTCTAGCAGCCATAGAAATGATGACCTGTCATTTGTGCGAAAATGTGTAAATCAGCTAACAATGTAATACAGCAGTATAGAGCCTGCACAGAGAGGAGGTTGGGTGGATGGATGGGTTAATAAAACACGAGAGACTGCTGCTGCTCACTTTCAGTTTAAGCAAACAACTTCTCAGACCTCAAAACTGAAGATTGAGAAAACATTTTATAATATGACATTTTCTCATCAATCTCTTCTCAGTACATTGATGAGAAAACCTCAGAACTTGCCAGAGCGCTTTCTCATGACTCCAACGATACGCCTGGCAAGTCTGAAGTATAGCAGTAGCTTCCTTAATTTATCAGCAGGAGCAAGTGAGTAAAGTTATATTCTTCAGAATCCGTTTAAACAAATTGGGCGGGCTGTACTACTCACCAGTATAATTTTAAACTTCTTCAATATTATATTTGTTTTGGAATACTGGGTAAAATATAAGGGCAAAATGCAAACATTTGCAATTATAATAAATTCATATTTTGTTCATAATCAAACATAGAAAACATAGTAAATGTTTAAACTGAGAACATATAACATTTAATTTTAAGTTTTAGTTTTAATTTTTGGGGACAGGGACAAGAAAATGCTAGAAAAATAAGTGGTGCTAAAAATAAACAGATGGGTGAACATTTGGCGTATTAGGTTAACTGGCAGCAGGTGAATAACATGACTGGGTATTAAAGATGACTGGGAGTTTCTCAGAAGTAAAGATGGAGAGGGGTTAAACAACTGGAAAATAAAACTGCAACTACAATTTCAGAATAAGGTTTTTCAATGAAAACTTGCAAATACCTTGAATATATTATTATGTACTGTAGAATGTCATCTACAGCAGCGGTCCGCAACCCCCGGGCCTCGGACCGGTACCGGTCCGTGAGTCGTTTGGTACCGGGCCGCGAGAGTTGAGGCTCAGGTGTGAAATGTATGGTTTTCAGGGGTTTTTTCGTTTTTGAGCGTTATTTTGTTATCGTTTTTATCGTTGGGTCTTTTCACGTGTGTTATGAATAAATCTTCTTTTTTCGGTACCAGTACTAGTTTTATTTTGTTGTATTTATCCGCGACACCTTAAAGGCCGGTCCGTGAAAATATTGTCGGGCATAAACCGGTCCGTGGCACAAAAAAGGTTGGGGACCGCTGATCTACAGTACATAATGTCGTCAAAAGATTATGAGCATCTGGAGAAATTGCTGTGCTAAACATGGCCCTGTCCAAACTTTTCTTGAGATGCATGTCTTACTATCTATATTTTATTCCTGCACAGTTCGTGTGGAGCACCCACACTTTTCTTGTACATGTGCAATGACAATAAAGGGCCCTTCTTCTTTATTCTACTTTCAAATTCAAAATTGATCAGTAAGTTTTCAAAGTTCTATGGTGAATAAAATATTGTTTTTAGATATTTGCAAACTGTTGCACGCTGTTTTTATTCCCACTTTATCTACAGCGTCCCAGCATTTCTGGACTCGTAATACACAGTAACAAATAGCTGCACTTGCTGATAGTAGAGCCATATTGTCAGCATACTGTCAGGTGCACAGCCTCCTACTTGTTGAGCATTTTATCTTTCTCCTTTATAAAATGCTTCATCACTGGAGAGAAAGTTCCAGATTCATAGAAAGCAAGACAATCCAAGGAAAAGAAAGTATTCAGTACATATGTGTCAGCGGACGTGTAAGTGTATTTCGCTCTGTCTTTCCATGATGATCAGTGACACACACTGCCCATTTTGTCCCATCTGTTTTTGTGATGGTGAAATTGTCCATTCCTCGTTATTTTCCCTGCTAGCCACGAGTGCAGCTATACTGCTGAGTTCAGCGAAATATGTCTGTGTGTGTATGTGTGTGTGTGTGTGTGTGTGCAGAGGCTGTGGGGACATGTGGAGACTGGAGACTCATTAGCATAATAATAGACTCGGATGCATGTAGACAGGCAAGCGTTGTGCGTGCATGTGTGTGTGTGTGTCTGTGTGTGTCGGCGGGTTTGCGAGTCCTGTCAGAAAACACAATTGTAGGGTCCTTGTTGACTTTCCATTCCTCTGTCTTTTAAAGAGCTATTTAAATGACAGGGTTTTAAATAAAACTCCATTCAAATAGAGGGGTTTTACATATAAAGCAATATCCAGATGAAAGGGTTTGTAAACAAAAACTGACAGAGAGAGATACAACGCAGGAGGGAGGAAAGAAAACAGAAGGAGGGGGAAAGACAGAAAAACAAAGAGAGAGAGCAAGAGAGGGGAAAAATAAATAGAGACAGGTCTTATAGAGGACAAATGGAAGGTCAAATGGGGTTTAAATGTAAAGAAAGAGGGAAGGGGAGCTGCAGAGAGGCAGCTCACGGCGAGCAGATAAAGGTAGTGATGGATGACACTGACGTTGGCTTCAACTAGCACAAATTTGTAGCATTAGCCTAAATCTAGTTGTGCATTTAATTATCTTTTTCTAATAGTATGCTGAGCAAGACTGCTGGGTCTGCTGGTATCGTGCTGGTATTGTGGAATTAAACTATTAAAGGGCAGTAATCACAAAACGGGGCCACATGAAGATATGGCAAATATGTTGTCATTACTTTTCAAAGTACCTGTATGTGCATTGTCTGATTACATCTTTACTCCCAGTCATTTTTTTCTTCTAGATGAAATAAATGATCATTTCATCTACTTTTTGGGGTAATTTTCCACCACCTTTGAAAAAGCTTACTTCAGTTGGCTAGTATCCATCCTTGTTTGGGGGGAAAGTAAAAATACATGATAACAGGCATTTGAGCTAAAGAGATGACATCATTTCAGTCACGGGGGGTCTCTCAGTCTGAGGCACTCCACTAGAGGAGTGAATACATTTTTCACAAAAGCTATTCCCTTGTTTTGTGCTTAGATGATAGCGGTGGAGAACACTGTCTAAAGGCTGACACTTCCTCTAATGCAAACAAGCACAAAGTCGTTCAGAGTTGTGTGCGTGCGTTACTTGTACACCTTAAGAACTGTGAGTGTGACGCTGACATGCTTTTGCTTTTCCGCTTCAAGTCTGCCTCCAAGGGAGCTGGTTCAATTTATCAGCTTGTTTAACTCTCAGATCCAATTTTTATGTAATTTGGGAGTTGTGCACACTGGCTTATTCGTGACCCACTGTTACCCATAACACCCTTGTCTTCATAAATGCCTTTGTAGCTTCAGAGTACACCCCCAAGGGGTCCAGAGATAGATCTGAAGGGTCTCAAGATGATTAAAGGAATAAAAAAGAAAAATATCTGTAATATTTCTCTGTCTTTTTCATACATTTCTGTCTATTTTCTGTCCTGGAATCTCGACAACATTTCTTTGTCTGTTGAGCTGCTCAGATCTTATGACCACACAAGCTCTGGTTTAAGGAGTTGCAAACCAGCAACTCGAATCAGTGTAACCCTGTGCAATACAATGATGACTGAGTACCACAGACGCCGTTTGTCATGTTCAGAGCATTA